AATTTTAACTTCAGATCTGAATACTTTTAAACAATAAAAATAATTATAAGTTATAAAATTAAAACTTATTCATATCGCATTTTATTTTATTTACAAACATTAACAAAATAATCTTACAATATATGTATATATTTATATATAGTATTAATATTTTCTATTACTATTAAAGTTGTAATCTTTCTAATTATATTATATAGAAAAATTCATATAGAAAATTCAAGATATATAATAATATAATTTGAAATAGAATTCATATAGAAAACTAATTTAAGATAGATAAGCTTATTATATTTAAAACTTATTTTTTATTAATATTATTATTATTATTAAAAATACAGAATAGAAATAATGTCTTTAAATAATAATATAATAAATAAAAATTAATAATAGATAATATTTATATGATAGTACTTTTAAAAGATGTTTATTAATAAATAAATAAAGAAATAAATAATTATAAATAAAATATATAAATATAGTAATATATTAGCTAAATTAATAGAATAAGAAAAAAGAGAAATTTTACTAAAAAAACTATCTATAGCTAAAATAATTCAAGCATACTATATAACTTTATGAAATGATTTTTGTGATATAGTATTATATGTAATGCAGTATGTGATATAATAATAATCTATAAGAAAAAATAATATTAAAATTATAATCTAATTTCTCTCTCTTTATTTATTAATTAATTCAGTCTCTTCTAATTAATATTATTAAGATGAATCTAAGTAAAAATTCACTTATCAGATTTGTCATAATAATATTATTAAGTTAATAATATTAATTAACTTTTTTAATATTTTTAATATAATTAAGTAATTATTTTCAAAGTTAAATACTATTTTATAATATTTATAAAAGAAATTTTCTTGATAAATTCATATATTTTCTTTTTTAAATATTATTAATATAATTATATATTTTTTAAATTAAGAAGATATATTTATAAAAAATAATCATAAAATATAAATTTTTAATTTGTTATAATATAATATATTTTTATTAATTAGAATTTTAGAAAGAGTAATATTAGTAAAGAAAAAAAATATATGTATATATATTATAAATATATTATGAAAAACTTGATTAATTTAACTTAATTAATTATATATATTTAAATATTATTAATTAATTTAAAATTTATATAATAATATAATTATATAAAATTTATAACTATATAAAAGATAATTATAGAAAGATTTAATTATATATAATAAATTATTAAATATAATAAAAATATAAATTTATATATAAAAGTTAATTTATTAATAAATATTTTTTGTTTATAATAAAAATAAAAATAATTTATAATTTATAAATACTTTTTCAATTTTATAAGAATTATACTAATTATAAAATTATTATAAAGTTTTTTACTAAATAAATTTGTATAATAATTTTATATCAGATAATGATCAAATATTATTATAGTACTAGTCAGAATTATTAAATTAAAAATAATACTAGCCAATCATATATGACAATAAATTTATGTGATTTATTTTAAATTAAATATATAAAAAATAATCAAATTTAAATGCTTATTACTTTTTACATAATAATTTTTTTATATAATTAATTAGTAATTTAATAAATCTTATATAAGAATATTATTATCAATTAGTTTTCAAAATATTACTTTTTTATTCATTTTATTGTAGAATTTAGATTTGATGCAGTATAAATATTATAAAGTGACTGAGTGTATTTGAGACAAGAGAGTTTTGATAAATATTCAAAGTCTAATATAGAAGTTTATCAATTTATAAGATATAAATGATTAGTATTTGTGTGGTTCTTTGTGCTCAGAAAATTTCCAAACATTACACATGATTTTTCGAAAAGTTATTGGAATGTATTATTACTTCTACTGTATAATTTTGAACTGAGTCAAAAATATGATATTTGTTAACTAATCCTGAAGTTAAAACTGATAATCTCCAGTAAAAATATAATGATAAGTATAATGTACAGTTGAATCTCAGTATAACGAACTTTGATATGATGAATTCGCGGTATAATAAAATTTATTTCAGTTTCTTTATATTAAATAAGTCTTGATATAATGAAACTACTAGTTAATTTAATGAATTTTGAAAAATTGGAACTAACGACTCAACTTCTTCGTTATATCAAGGTTCAACTGTATTTGCTTTCAAATGCATGACAATATTATAAAAACATAGAAGAAAGAAAAAAACAGCAAAAAGTATTCAATCTAAGTATTTTGGATGACAAAAATTAGTGTTGTTTTTAAAATAAAACTGACTTTCTAAAAAAAGTAGAATTACCTCTACAATAAATTTTAAAAAAGAAATAGTTTACTGTTTTAATTTAATATAAAAAATTATTAATATACTATGTAATTTATTTGTCTTTATGGTTAATTAAGATACCATGAAGTCGCTGAAACCATTACCATTTGTCACTGCACATACAGTACTCGGGATCTTATTCAAGAATGTTATATTTTAAATTGAATAGTACGGGTACTTTGTATGAACTGGGGGATATACATTATATGAAAAGTAATAAATTAATATAGGCTATACCCCGATCAAAATTAGGCCAGCATGGTGGTGAAAAGTACTCGGTCTTAATCATTGGGGGGGATACTATTTTATGGGCGTACTGTATGCAGTGGCAATATGTAAAAGACTCGATAATCTTCAACAAATCATCAAATCCACAAATATTCTGTTTATAAGAAACGGTTTTCAGACTAATCGAAAATATCTTGGAAGTTATTTGGGTCCTCTCGTAATAAAATTCGGGGTTGGTTGATTACTTCTTTTAAGTTCTTTATAAATTGGCTAGGGTTGGCTGTATTGAACCAAAAAGAACTCATTTGAAAGAAAGAGACACTTGAAAAGAGCAATTTCTAATGCCAACTAAATCTGGAGTAGCGAATTATTTATTGAGGCTGAAGATTTAATATTGGACAAAATTAAAGATAACTGCCACAACCATAACTGAGCTAATTACAGCTATAAAAAATAGGTTACAACCCTGGGTTTTAACCCAATTACATCCCACTTTTTTAATTGTTACCAGTATCATTAGACAAATAGAATTATTTGTGGATATGAGATTTTTTCATTATCCAAAATGCTTATTTTCATGTAAATGCTAATGATAATACAAAAATTAAAGTTTACGGACTTTAGTCGACCGGCTAACCACACATTGGGAAATGCGAATTCACTCAACTCATTACATCAATAGGAATTCGCATGACAGACAGTCGTCCGAGTAACGTACACGGAAGACTCTAGTTCGAATGCCTAGCAACACATATGACACGTATTGACATAGTATCCTGGAAATGTGAAATGCACGTATGCCGAAAAGAATGGATTTCAGAAATGTTCGGAAAAATGCCTGATTGATGAAAAAATCAATCAACAATACATCATCATTGGCAAAATGACGTTGAATCTAAATTCCCACGCGATTTTAATAACGTAATAATGACTTAGTTTTGATGGATCCTTGTATATAAATTACCATTAGACTTGATTTATTTCTTTGCACACCTTTTTTTTCATTAAAAATGAATTCTGATAAGACAAAAAGAATTACCGATGAAGCTCAATACGTCAAAGGCGTTGTAAAGGAAAACCTTGGTGTGTTGTTGTGTTGTACCAATGCTATTTTTGTTGTCGAACAAAAGAATAAATGTAACACTTAGTTTTTTCTATTCATGTAGGCAGGGCAATTCATGATGAGAAATTAATTTCTGAAGGAACAAATGAAAAGTTAACTAAGCAAGCTGAAATGGAAGCAGCCCAAAAAGTCGCTGTAAAAGACCCTCGTATGTTATCATCGGTTTCTCCATCTTTATATGATTTGATGGCTAATTACATTCAATGATATGTGAAGAGAAAGAAAATCCATCTATCGTCTCTCTTGAAAAAGGAAGTCCCAAAGTAATCAAAAAATCTCTTGATGAATCACCTACCAACGAATATGGAAAAGCGAATCCTGTCACGCATCAAAAAATGAAAGAAATTGACCCGATGGAGGCAGAAAATTCAAAGTTGAAGAAAGAGGAAAGTAAATTATAAATTAAAAATTAAGTGTTTGCAAATATGCAGACTGAAAATGACGACATATACTGTTAGTGAATCAATTATACATGTATCATCTTTTATCCCCCATTTTAAGCTTAAAAAGAACTAGATCTGAGATGTTTTGCTTGCTCCCTTTTTTCTCTTCTCTGATCAATAATATCACTATATCGATATGACGCAATTTACTACCAATAAATTGCTATTTGAAAATATTAACGAGACTCCGTTCTCCTATTTTATCGTTCATGAATACAAAGAAATTCTACTAACATGATTGGTCTCATACATATGAGCATGTATTACACACAACTGTGAATCCAACTTGGAAATAAATGTGGCACGTGTCGCGATAATATTAATTTTTATCTCGATTTAGCAACGACGGAATCCAAAAATGTGCATCGATAGTTATTGTAATGAATAAGATTTGGTTAGCAGAAAAGGTGGTCGAAATGTATGAGATAATAAATAACGATTAAGACTTGAGTCGATATTCAATTTCCCCTGCTGTGATATTAATATGTACATGTATAAACAAAATGTAGCGAGACAAGTAGTGGTACGTGTATATTAATAACTGATTACCATTACACATTATCGTTATCAAATGAAGAGCGTAATTAAGTTTTTTTTTTATGTAACATACTGTATAAAAATAATTACCGAATTTCTTTTGATTGACTGCACGAAGAATCAAACCATCGTCATTTCTACATTCATTTAATTTATTCCCCCCGTTTCTACCCATATTTTTAAACAACAATAACCTATTTCCCATTTCATCTGTCCATCTATCCCATCATTCATTTAGACTCAAACCAGCAACACCCCTCCCTTTTAATACACATACTAAATTACACACGCACACTATCGTTATAATAAACCAATATCCAATCTTTTTTCTTATTATAGACCACAAAATACATTTTCATTTTTTTTAATACCGCTGTGCGGAAATCAGAATCTTTTTTTTTCTTTCCACTTTTAAGAGAAAGAACTTTTTAATTTTTGTGGTTTGTATATTCAGTATCTTAAAATAAGCATCAAGCAACAATTGATAATATCAAATTATAATAGTCTAAAAACCAAAGCAAATTTGCTGCGGTGATAAATAACAACGACTCTCGTTGTTGTTAGATAAATTGGCCATTATGGCCTCTACACTTCCAACATTATGTTTCCACGAGATATTTCAATTGTTGATTGACGATCAAAGAACATTACACTCTTGTCTGTTAGTGAATAGGCATTGGTGTCAGAGTGCAGTCTCATATTTATGGCGAAAACCATTTCAATACACGGATGCAAGTTACTCTTCTTCAGTCTCACTTATAAACTCTTTGCTCTTGTGTCTTCCAAATGAGGATAAAGTAAGAATAGGGGTCAAAGATATTTACACAGCTACATTCCCATATGTAAATTATTTAAGACATTTAGATTTTATGAATCTGGCACGGGCAACTTCTGATTGGCGTAGTGCTAATTGTGTTCAAGCATCTCCACAATTTGTATTGCAAATACTGTGTCGTCATATATTAAATAGTGATGCATTACTCTTTGACTTACAATTGGACTTTGATACTTCGCTAGATGATTATGATTGGAGTGAAGACGATTGGTGCTTTTTCCGCTTCCCTGGAGCTGATCGCTCATTATCACAATTAAGAACACTAAACTGTTTCGGGGCTTATGATCCAATACTTTTATTATCGGCATCAGCCCTATGCACAAAGATCGAATCAATTGAAGTTTCATTAGATACCTTTGGATGGACTAGATATCAACGTGGTGAATTAATGGTTAAAGCCGGAGCAGAGACTTTAGTTGCATTGATAGCTAAACAAGAAAAACTGGAACGATTCCTTCTTCAAGATTGTCCTTTTCGTGGTTTCGTCATTGATTTGAGTAATATTTTCAATGCATTAAGATCGGCTCAGGGCACTCTTCGTCATGTACAATTTTCGACTATCGATGTTCAGGGTTATCCATTGTTGGATGTACTTGGGCAATGCAATAATCTCGAGTCAATTGTATTTAGCAGATGCCAAAATATTGGTAAATGCGCAAACAAGAAACCAACTACTCCCTACTTCCCGAAATTAAAAACACTTACACTTGACAAGACATTTGTTCCTGTACCGACACTTCGAACGTTTGCCGCAAATGCCGGTCACAGTTTAGAAGAAGTGTTGTTACGCGACGAAGGATACCAAGAAAATTGGAATGCTGTTCAAGTATTCGCCGTGAATAATCCAAACATCAAGAAATTTCAAGTTCATGGTGCAATTACTGAACTGCCACAAATTTTACGAATGGTAAAATCTTGGCGCAAACTAGAATCTTTGTCAATTATGCACACTAATGATGAAAACGAGGTCGATGAGTTGTATGAGGCTGATTATTTTATTGTAGATCTGGGGGCAGCAATACCTAACACATTGGAGCATTTAACGATACAGCTTGATTTGGAATTTACCGCGGAGTCGTTATTGCGATTCTTTCAGAATTGTCAAGCCCCGTTAAAGACACTTGAATTGCCTGCCACCCAATGTATTTTGGATGATCATTTAAGAGTGATTTCTGAATATTCACCTAGAAGCTTGGAGTATTTAAATATTATTGAGGCAACAAATATCACAGAACGTGCTATTCGTGCTGCCAGAGCTGTTGTCCCAAATATCACTTGTTCTTTTTATTTGGCGAACAATAATCTGATTTATCGTGGTCATGTAAGCTCTTGATATTTTTTCATACCAATAATATTTCGAAAACATCTGATATACTTTAATTTGCAGATAATTCCACAACGCCAGCATTTCATGTAGGACTTAATTATTGCATTTGTTCATAGTTTAGCATATACACGCGCATTTAGACACATTACATACAATTATGTTTATATTTACATTCATTCTATCAGAAATATTTATGTTCTCTCTGTCTGCTGTGTTTTGTTATCCGATCAATTTGACATTTAGAAACATCTATGTTATGTTTATTTTTTTATCCCTACAAATAAATTGAATTGATAAAGAACATTGATAAATACATAATTTTATTATTTTGTATGCAAATATGTAACATTTTTTTAAAAGGGTTCAATTCCAAAAAAATAGTTTGTAAGTCTAAGAATATGATATTTTACAAGTACATATATGCACTTATATGTAGAGAAATAAAACAGTATGTTATTTTCTTATTCCAAAAAAGTATTTGATCAAGAATAATAGTTTAGTAATCCAATACACATTGTGCTTTATCATAAAAGGATTCTTTGAAATGTCTGAATTATTAAGTAAATATATTCAGAATAATTTAAATATATTTGTGCTTTTTTTCAATAATAAATAATATACATGTCCAATTTAAATAAAATCTACGCTTTATTTTCATTATTTTATCTATTTCTATATGCTTAATATCTGAAGATTATTAATTTTATAGTCTATTTTTTATAATATCAACAAAATAATTCATGAAATAAAAGATTAAAAATAAAATATAAAATATTAAAATAAAGAATTAAATTAGTGTCGGTTCGAGCTCGAACTCGAACCGGACTCGAACTTGAACCCGGAGAAAAATTTCGAACTCGAACACGAACCGGACTCGGACTCTAATTTAGGGTCGGTTCGATTTCAGTTCGAGATCGACCCCTAGTGTAATAGTAAAATTGTAGTCCTAGTTAAGGGCTACAATTTTTGCTTTAAGCATAAAATAGATTTGTTATTCAAGATTCTGACTTTAATAGACAGAACAAAAATATTTTTATTTAATAATAATTTATCATTATAAATATACATGTAATATTTTTCCATAAATAGCAAAATTTAAATATAAAATATCTTAATAAAATTTGTAACTCTAAACAGGTATTATAATTTTGTTTATTAGTGTAAAATACATTATTATTCAAAATTTGACTTTAATTAGACAGAACTAAAATATTTTTATATAAATGATTATAATTTATTATTATATAATAATGATCAAAAGCAATATTATTAGAGATTAAATTTATTAATAAAACATAATAAAATTGAAATTTTCTTTTTATATTAAAATTTATTAATTTTATTAAGAAATAATTTTTATTTTATATTAAAATAAAGTTTATTAGTTATATAATTTTCTAATATGAATTATAAGAATAATTAAAATTAGATAATATTAATAATTTTTAAAACTTTTATATATAAAGAATTATATTAATAATATTATTATTTAATATAATTATTATTTTTTTATTCTAATAATCATAAAATAAAGAGAACTTATCAAGAAAGAGTATAATTAAATTATTAATACTTGAAGATATAAAGTTCTAATTCTTATAATTATAAATACTTTAAATTTTGAAAAAAGTATTATGTAATAATTTTGATTAGATTATCTTCCTTTAGATCTCTTTAGTTTAGATCTTCACTTTATGTTATCTATATAACAGATTAGCTTTGTATTACATTTCTAAGAAGATCATTTTCACTCTGAATATATAGATAATCATTATGTATTAAATATATCTAGATTTAGTATATTGTTACTCAGATGATTACTATATATATCATAATTATTTAGATTATTAATATTTTTAAATATATTATTATTAATTATTTCTTTATATTTTTATTCATTTCTCTTCTTATTTATTTATATTATTATTTATAATTATTTATTACATTATTAATTATTGGATTATGATTAGTTATTCTTCAGAGATATGAATTAAATTAATTAATTCTGTTCAATCATATTTATTTTAAAATAGATTTTATTATTAATTTATTCACTTTTTGTATTTATTTCTTCATTATAAATAAGATCTCTCTATTTTATAATTTTTTCTCAGATCTGAATACTTTTAAATAATAAAAATAATCATAAGTTATAAAATTAAAACTTATTCATATCACATTTTATCTTGTTTATAACCATTAACAAAATAAACTTACAACTTGATAGCAGTAGACATGATTATTACAAATATTATTCTCTAATATCTTAGTATACTTTACATACCACACATACTACATATACATATATTTCAGTTTTTAGTAAAATAAATTTGTCAAAATAAACTCAGAATAATTTGCTCAATTTATGTAAAGCATGATTAACTTAATCAAGATAGTAAAAGAAAATGATCTTTCTGGTTCTAAACCTTCATCTTATCTTTCAGTTAAACTATCTACTTACTTAGAAAAACCAAATGAAAATATACTTATCTGGATTATGCAAGTTAAAATAATATTCCAAATTCAAGGAATCACAGATGAGAAAATTCAAATATAGTATATTATTACTTTCTTAACTGATGCAGTTTTATATTGATATCTCAATAAAGTAAAGATAGATGATAGTATTAAATTCTTTGAAAATTGACAAGCTTTTGTTACAGCCTTAAGAGAAGCTTTTTAATCATTACATTATCAATAACATCTTTGTAGATAACTTTACCTACTTTATCAAACAAAATTTATACAAGATTATGATACAAAGTTCAGAAATATAGTTGGTCAAATCACAGACATGAGTGTTTTAGACCAGATCACATATTTTATAAAAGATCTAAAATCAGCTGCAAAAATGGAAATAAGTTACCAGATATCAGAAATATTAGAAGAAGCTTGAAAATTAGCTATTCATTATAATACAGCTATATATGAATAAGACAGATTTCTAGGCTTACCAAGCAGAAATAATAATAGTTATTATTTATAGAATCAGAACAGAAGTTATCAAAATAATAGTCCAATATCAATAAAACTTGACTAGACAAAAAGTCAGTATAACAACAAAAGAAATAATAATAATCAAAAAAATAACAAGTTCAAAGGTACATATTATAACTGTGGCAAATCAGGTCATTTTGTCAAAAATTTTTATTCAAAACCAAAGGCCAAAATTGCAAATATAAAAGATAAATAAGAAGAATCTTCATAATTTTATGAGAAAATTGAGTTTGCTTATTTAGAAGATAATAGAGAAAGATTATTAAAATTCAATAACCAAGTAAAAGGTAAACCAGCATGAGTATTGCTAGACAGTGATATATTCAGAAACTTTGTTGATGAAAAGTTTATATAAAAGAACAAGATTAAATTGCAAAAGATTATACCAGTCATAGTTGAACTTGCTGATAGTAAAAAGATTACTGCCACCACTATGGCAAAGATTAATGAATTAAAATTAGACATCTATAGAATGCATAAGATGAATGCACAAGTTTTGAAATTGCAGAGATATGACCTCATGCTAGATAAATCTTGATTATTTTATGCCAATCTCACTATAGACTGAAGAAACAATATCATAACCTTTACCTATAGATTCAAGACAATAAAAGTATAAGCTAATAATAAAGTTAAGTTAGGCTCAAGTTGCAATTCAATATATATTTCAAGATAACAAATTTTAAACCTACCAGCAGATGCAGAGCTCTTCACCATATATCTTAATAATACTAAAGACAAGAAAGAAGTAAAAGAAAAGTCACTTTTACTAGAAGTATTAGATATTAAAAGAAAATTTCAAGATGTATTTTCAGAAATCTTATCAAATCAGCTACCATCCAAAAGAGCAATTAATTATAAAATTGATTTTATTCCAGATTCTGAATCATCATCCAGATTCACCTATAGGCTTTCTTTCATAGAGATGAATGAGCTCAAGAAACAATAAGCTAATTTTATTCAGAAAGATTTCATTTACCCAAGTATTTCATCTTTTAGAGTATCAGTTTTTTTTGTATATAAGAAAGAAGATACATTAAGATTATGTATTAACTACAGAGCTTTGAATAAAATTATCATTAAGAATCACTATTCTTTATTAAGAGTTGATGAGTTGATAGATAAACTTACAGATTCAAAATACTTTTCAAGGCTAGACTTATATTCAGAATATTACCAAATTCATATTACATAAGAAGACATATATAAGATAATATTTAGAACTTACTATGGATACTATGAGTTCTTGGTCCTACCCTTTGGTCTTATCAATATATCAGTCACCTTCATGATATTTATGAATAATATATTTCATGATTATCTTGATAAATTTGTAATCATATACCTAGATAATATCTTAATATATAGTAAAATAAAGAAAAAATATATTCAACACTTACAGACAGTCTTAGAAATACTTTGCAAATATAAACTATATATCAAGTAAAAAAAGTGTAATATTATTCAGCAGTATATAGAATATCTTGAATACTATTATCTTTTTGGTATGAGTTCTGAGATGAGAATGAGTATTAAACCTAATATTAAAAAATATGTAATAAAAGTAATCACGTGTTTAAAATGATGTTTGGAAGAGTCTCTAAAAGATTTATTAATAAGAATATTTCTATTATTATTTTCAAGTTAATCTAAAGATAGATAATGATAGTGTTCTTGTTATAACTAGCTAGAATATAGTCTAATTCCAATATGTAATTTCAAGACAGATATAACAAACAGTTTATTAACAAGATGAATTAATAGATCTTAATCAAGATCTATTTTACAAGAGAGATTTCTTAGAATTCTCTTAA